TCTCGACCAATAGTAACAATCGTACACGTTTAGCTTGTGAGTAGTTGGCAGAAACGTGATGAGCCAACTGTATATACAATTCAATGTAGTATTAGCAAAATTTTCTCGTGATTATCTTGGGAACTAAAAAATAGCAATATTTTTACCAGAGGAGAACGTTATTTGAAACATTAATTGGTCAAGTTTCCGATGTATTACGACCTCACCGATCTTAATGATTTTTACATATGTTGTTGGAGGCATGATTTTGAACAACTTTTTCCTTTATATGTTGCTTGCGGGAGGTTTCATTTTAAGAGACAATCGGAAAAAACTTTTGCCACTACTACACTGATTTCTGTATACATGAGTCCGTCCGTGAGAGAGTAAGCATAGCTGTATGTTTGTTGCTTCGATCCCTCGAATTTCTCGTTTACACATGAGTACTTTCCTATACAAAAATTCTAAGAGTTCCACATAATTGCGGTGGTTTCGAAGAATGTTCCGTACAATATATAGAACTGAATTTCACTTAAATAATAAATATCGATATGGTTGGTAATTTTTTTGCGCGGGGTGGGATGTTCATTTACTGTATAATTACCACAAATTCTATATCCTCTCCCGCATAACACCCATTTAATTTTATATTAAAAAAAAATAGTACACAGATATTGAAATTGCGACGAGGCATGGAATTTAAGATTAAAGATGCATTACCTGTCGACATTCCCAAGAAAAGCAAAGGGTTTTGTGAGAGTAGGGATATTTTGCGGTTATACTTGTAGCTCTGATCATGTGTACAAAATACAATGTAATTGTTGGGGTCGCGGTCTATCCCGTGAATGATTTAGAAATCGCGACTTAGCGAAAAGAGTGGACTGTATTTAAACAACTTAGTCGGGTTACAAGTTTTCTAAGTGTGACTCTCCTAGTCGGTGGTTCCTTTGCGAATGAATTTTGATTGAGTGTTTCTCAGATCCCCCTTGGAATTTGCAATTGTCCACTGATTGGTTCTTCCAATTTTTAGAAAAGTCCAATCAGCGAACCTAGGTTAGAAGACACACCTTCCTTTACGCCCTCGGCGTGTTTCCTTGAGGAAGGGGTCGCGAGATTTTTCAAGGGGAGAGAGGCGCTAGAATTCGGCGGTGGTGGGCGACACATCTGGTCAACACCAGAGACGGTTTCCTGACCCTGCATCAGCCGCGAAAACCGTTGGGTGACCCATGGTTCTCACTGACATGCTCAGGCCGTGAAAGTTTACAGCAGGGCAATAACTATTGAGACGAACGGATAATACGTGTAAGAAACTAAGGGTATCTACAAATGCTATGACAAAATAGTAAAAATTGTAAAGAGCGTACCATCCGGCGAGTGTCGTCCAGATGGCAAAAAAAACTAAATTAACGAATTCTCAAAAATAGCTGTGCTTCTAAACCCTGCCACAAACTCTGTACAAATCGGCCCGAACAGTGGTAGTAACAAAAGTTTTTCGCAATTATCTTAAAAACTTAAGCCTTCCGCAAGAACATATAGAAGAAAAAATTACTCAAAATTATGCTCCGAGAAACATATTTAAAAATCATCAAGATTATATTATATTATATTATATTGTATTGGAGTACATCGGCAACTTCACCTATTAATTTCTATAATAATTGTCAATTTTATGAAAGTCCATTTTCCTATCAGAATTTTACAGTATTACCGTATTAGCTTCATTCTACGTTAAATTGCTACAGAATATTTTACCCGCGTGATTTTAAAATCTTAACAACTCTTATTTAAATGAGGGAAAACTGTTTGATTAAGAATGGTCCTAAAATAAACATTTACCGCCCTAGATCCCTTTATAGAACACCTTGTTGGGGATGTATGAAAGCAATTAAGCGTGATTTCTGGGGTGAATTGGGTGGAAACGTGGTAAATGAGAAATACCTGTATAAACATATGTTCAATTCTGTCCTTGAAAATTTACTATTCATATATCACCATAAAAATAATGGTTAAACTTCGAAATAGCAGAAACTTTGAATGGAATTTGTTGTTTATTTAAACCATCATAATTGATCCTCACCCCTGTCAATATACTTCATATGTAATTTTCAAAATGTAGAATTTAATAAGTGCATTCACGTATATAAGTGCTACGCTAATATAATTTATACAAGGCGTTTCTGAAATCATAGTGCAACCAGGATGGAAATAAATCTATGTGAAAAAATAAGTCGAAGATATAAAATAAAATATTCTGATAGGGAACTTGATTCCCAAGATAATCGACTTCGGTACTGTATCTGACACGCACGTATTGATATTTGCAACAAGTAGAAATGGTATACTATGAACAGACACATTAGCTTATTTCTACACAATAGCACGAGCGTCCGAGAAATTTTCAAACACGATTATCTAGAAAACGAAGAATTATATGTTACTATATTCTACATAGTTTTTTTTATGTAGAATAATTCCCTTTTTGGCTATATAACTTATTACAGTCTCTGATCAAAGCATTGGGACTGCCCATAGTTTTCAATATTTTTCGCAGTAATCGGGAATTAAAAGGCTAAAAAGTACTTTAATAATAGTTGTCATTAACTATTAAGGTATATATAATAAATAAATAAATATTCATAATTTGTGTTTCTCTCTTTGCTTTTATTATAACATTCACCCTTTCCGACATAATGCATGTGGTGAATATGTCTGTGTTTGGGATATTTTTGTACAATTTTAACAGTTTTTTCTTTTAAATCTGCTACTGCTACTAAGTGATGCGTACACGATAGTTTTCAGTGAACTGCAGACATTTTCAAAGGGGATTCATATATGGAGAATATAAAAAAAATTGTACTACTTGGATAATAAACTCTCAATAACAGAACATTGTGTATAATAATATGCCTACAATTGCTATGAAAGTATGTAGAATATATGTACATCCTTAAGTAATTAACAAAAATTAATACTAATTACATTTTGACCTTTTACGTCCACGATTACAGCTAAAAGAAATATGGGTGATCATAATTTTTAGATTAGGAACTGTACAATACATCTTGCACTAGTGTAGAAATGATTATATTCCAAGGAAACATGAAGACAACACATTCTACTTAAATTGCACTACATTCCGGAGAAAAAAATCTGCGATACAGTGAGTCTATTTCGTAATATTGCCGCTTCCTCGCTTTGTCTACAATACTTTTCATGCATAAATCTTAATCGACCTTCTTTATCTTGGCACATTTTGCACTGCGTTACCGTGTATCTTCTGTTTTTACAGCATATAGGTATGTCGCTAACTTTTTCGAGAAACCCACATTTGTTTCAATCTCATATTAATTGGACAGCGTGCCAGGTCTTATTGGAGAGTGCGAAGCGGACTAAAAAATTCACGACCAAACACTGTGTTTTAGTATGGTTAAATCACTGCTTTTGACTGTATTACACCCGAATTAACTATCACTATTCTCTTTCAATTCGAATTATGTTTTCTGCGTTACAAGGAATTCACAATCAACGATACAAAGTTATTTAAAGTTCTACTACGTTACATTACAAACAAATTTAAGTTTTTAAATTTAAAAAGGAAGTAATTTCTAAAAATCTAGAAATTTATGCCAATAATCTACAATCGTTTGAACGAGTGTACCCTATTGAACGTGAAGTTAATCCCGAAGTAGCTCTCAAATCGCCCAAAGAATTTATCAAGAATCGAAGTAATCGTATCGTGTTTTGGAAAGCAATTAATATTATCAGCGATCATAATCTTACCGGCTATTGGTCACATTGGAATTATTATCGGTTCATTCAGATCTAAATTTTTTAATGATAACATTGTAAATTTTGTATTGATTTTGCATGTAAAATAGGAATTTCAAGAGAAAACATGTGAAATAAAAATTCACTTATCTTTCCCATGCTATGAAATTAATTTTCAAGCTCAACAAAAATGTTCCCAGTAGAGTCTACCCTGCTTAACTAAAATAAAGAAAGAACGAATATGAAATATGTAGAGAGCGTTGAACCTTCTCTATACTGAGCGCTGTCGAGTAAACCTCAAATCTCTCTCCTCGAAATCCATATTATAGACGAATGTAATTTTATTTTCAAGTAATCTAGTTGCACTTCTTTTAAAAAAATTGAAAAAATATCTACGAAATTCTTTATTAATTATATAGGGAAAACACTTGCAACATCTCATCATGAAGAAAATAAAGAAGGTCTTGTATATTTCAAATACATTTCGTCTTAACGATGCGAGTTAGGTATACCAAAAAATTTATCCGATATAACGTATGATGAGTTATTATATATAAGAGTTTTTATAAAATAAGACTGTCACCTGTTACCAGAAACAATTTCTTACATATTTAAGTTATATTATACCATCGCAAACATATGGTGGATAATATATATATATATTATTATTAAATCCTAATATTAATAAATCCTTTTTACTTACATATTTGAATACATCCAGAAAGGGGAAATAACTTATAAAGGGAAGAAGAGTGACAGATTAAGTGTACAAAATTAACACTAGGTTTACGGACATTTATCGCACAGTTTAATCCGTCGTTCCTAGCAAAATGAATATCCGTTCATTTAGATCTCAGAAATAAGGAGTTCAACGATAGACGATTAGGATATATATTCGTCTAATTGCATCACTCAAAATGGACGTAAAAATGTATCAAATAATGTTTGTAAAATCCAGTATGCGTCGAATCGAAACGTTCCGTAAATTTAGTGTTAAATGGATAATACGATTTTTATAAGATATAATTGAAAATACGAGATATAAAAGGAAGCGTATAAAGTGACATTTTCTTGCCAATAATAAAGCACAGACTCTCGCGTAAACTGCTAAAGATTATTTGACTCTGTTGATAAGCAGATTCTGAATTTGTCAATTAAATCTGATGACACCTCGACAGAAACTTGACTTCTTATTTTCATTCTTGAATCGAAGAGCAGACGTGCTTTCGCGATATAAGTGGACTTGAACTCACCTGAGTTTGCTGGCACCTCGGTGGTGTTAGCGGTTCCGTTTTGCCCGGGACTACGGGAACTCGAGGTTCTACCTAGAGGTTCCATGCGGATCGCTTCGCTGCTTTCTCGCGTCGACGTTCCCCCTGGCATTTTGCTTTTTTCCCTCTGCCTGCGTTTTTACCCGGTAAGCTTGCAGCGCATGGAACTTCGAGCGGAAGATGCACGCTTCCTCGAGCCTCTATTTCTCGTGACTCGATGCGAATTACATTCTTCAACGTTGATGCTTTCGAAGGACGATACACTTTTCAGTTCTTTTCTCTTATTCGTATCAACCGTACGGGAAACTGTTGCACGACATATAACTTTCGTTCGAGACTGTCTTAAGAACATTCGTCATTTTATAAAATCCGCTTTAGCCGCTAGTAAAAATTACTACGTTTTTAGACGGATGTCACTGAAGGCGAGATATTTTATCATAACACGTTGGTCCCCGTAGCGCTACATTCATAGGTTATATTGTAAATATGAAAGTAGAAAAAGCCAAGCTCGTAGCCGGTATGAAATAGCTTTCGTTGCGTAATTTACCTAAATGTTCCAAACAAGTTCATGAAAAAGTGATACATCAAAGCCGTTTTTCATTTGCTTAGGCTTTAATTCGTGTATCCGTTCTTATTCGAAATGGCTATTTAATCAATTATTTATTACGAAGAAATTCAATAGCGCGTAATCGTGCCTCGAAAGTAGTAGAGATTTAGTCTCATGAATATGTAGTAGCTTTTTCCCTACTCCAGTTGTTTAAGCTCTCCGTTGAAAAATTCGACAAGCTTGACGCACCGTTCGACAGTGTACCTGAAACAAATCACAAATTAATGTACATAAAATGTGCAATTTATGTACAAATAATATTATAGAAATAATCGTGTTGCTTTCATGTCATCAATTACTTTCAAAGTACTAAAATCACTATACCCTTTAAAACCAAGTTGAAAATGTTACAGTTGTTAACACTTACTCAAATACATTAATAAAAAGTTATTTCATAAAATACATTTCGCCCTTTGATTTTGCAACGAAATATGATATAGACAAATTTGATTATAAATATAAATCACTAAACAATAGATAGTATAATTTGTGAAATATAACTTATTAACTAATTATATCGTTCTATTATTTTTTGTAGTGTACAAAATAGTATTGCTTCTGCTCTTATTATAATATTGAATTACATACAGATGAAATTAAAAGAGTAATTATTCAAAAGTATTGAATATAAAATATATCAATAGAAGAGTATTAAACAGCTATTAAACTGTTACATAGAAGATCAATGAAAATCAGATAATATCGTATACCGGTATAGTTTGTTTTCGAAAGTGAAAAACTGACGTGCACCATTAATCACAGTCTTTAGAAAAGTATTTACTCTACCACGATCACTTGAGAAAAATGATATTTCAGTGCACCAGAGTAGGATGGATAGTTATTGAAGCAGTCTGTGTAACTCACGTTTCTTCTTTCGAAAGGCAATCTACAATAGCGACAATCTATGTGCCTCACATAGTAGACAGAAACGCCTGCAAGCCAGTTTTCATTTCCTTAGATAGGAATTAGTAAAAAACTTCATTCTGTAATTTCAATTCGTTTTTGTGCGTAATGTTCCACTTTTTAATTTGACAGTCAGTATAACGTGTAGGAGAGTACAGTACAGAAGTATTTTTATTAACCGCTAGTGTGTGGAATTTAGTTTGAAAAATCTCTTATTGTACGCGAAATAAAAGCAAGTTATGACGTGTATACTCGTCAAACGTAGTTAACTGGTTAAATATAAACCGATAAGAAAAGATAGTTTCAGGTTTGAAGTAACTGAAGCGACGATAAGTACAGTCTAAAAATATAGCACATTCACGTATTGTCATAAATATATAGCACATTAAGAATTTTATGTGCCAACTATTTTTACCTATAAAAGATATATATTTCTACAATGTTAATCCTTTGCACTCGAGAAGAAACCCTCAGTCATCATTTGATTCAACGCAGACAGATTATCAAACTGAAAATTCCATATTACTTTTGTATATTATATCAATGTGCGCGACATTTAAATAAAATAGTTCTGACCCTTAATTTATGCAAGATTGTTTTTCGTGTTGGTTGCAAAATATTTATATCATCAATTCTTCATCAGAAAATAATGAATATTTTAACGAGAAATATTGCGCTAGTACTTTCTCCATCGTATGAAGAATAAAATATTGCCTATGAATTAAACTGTCCTTGCATCTTTTACCCGACAGTTAGAAAAGAATTGCTTTTAACATATCTTTCGATCTATTTAATTTTCCAAGCATTTTTCAATGCCTCTTACGTACAGCGTCGAGAGGTATTGATTTGTGTAAAAAAATATTTTTTATATGACTTGTTCTAGTTACGTTCACGACTTGTTAGAACATTTATAAATCCCCATTGATTTTATCGGATATTTAATTATTCCACTCCGTCACCATAGCAGAGACGCGTAGTGACACGTTACACATCCGAACGTCTACTATAAAGTTAATTTTATAATAGCTACGAAGATGTTAATTATATTCACCTACATTTTAGCCACGATTTCCGAGATTTTTATTCGTGCACGCTTTAAGATGTGTGAACCAACTGTGCAATAATAGGCATTCATACTACATAGAGCTGTACAAAGTGTCAAACAAATATGCGATTATCCGAAACGTGCATGTTCTTCACGTAAATACAAACAAACAACAATTTTTAACCAGTTAGATGCGTTTGACGAGAATACAGGTCATCTTAAAGCTTGAAATGCCATTAATTCTTTCAACGATGAATCCTTTTTTCAGATAAACATGTAATTCTTCTTTGTTTTGCTTTTGTTTTTCATTAAAGTATACTCTACCTGCATGTATCCTGTGTTCGACGAGCACACACTTCATTTTTTGATTTTATTTGATCGCAAAACGAGAAATTTTTCAAACTAAATTCCACAGTTCACAGGTTAAGCAGTTCATAATTAAAATTTAAAGTTCAGGTCGTACTGTTTGAAACTTAATAAGATTTACGCTCTACATAACAGTGAAATATCTAATACATTGGACTAATAAAAAAGTAGGAAATATACAATACATCAAATGACTGAGGCAAAGTATAGAATATTTTTTCTAAAAGTAAAGAAATACAAGTTGTGTATTAATTAATTAATACAATTAATATCTACTATGAAGCACCTTTACCTGAAGTTATTATGTTCTTAAGGTAAACATTATCTACATTATTTTGCAATATAAATTTTTATTGTAATGACTAAGAATCTGAATCACTCGGTATTATTAGAAAAACTGAAAGATTGGGAAACCCGTAAAGAGTTGTATACTCGCTCGCTCAGTTGACTGTATACTTTAACGCACGCTTCGAAAGACGAACCTTTAATTTTCTACGTTAGGATCTTGGAAACGAAAATGTAACTTGCAAAATGTTAGTACTATTAATAGGTCTGTTTAAAATCTACGCAGTCTAAAATCTAAAACGAAACTTAAAACATTTCCCTTAGATAATAAAATCATAAAAATATTGTTCATTATGTTATTCAGAAAAACTTGTTTCCTTATATCTTCATTTACTATCACTTCTAAAGAATTAAACGAGAGGTGTCTTTAGTTCCTAATCGTTGCTTCTTAAAGGACTATTAACAGATTTTTCAATTTATATTTACTTACATTAAAACACACTGTGTATTAATCTAGCATATACATAAATATGCAAAACGGCCTCTAACCGCTGCTACAATCAGAAATTGTAGTTATTCTTTAAAAAAACCTCAAGAGAATGAAATCAACATTAAATATTTATCTGATATGCGTAAGTGCATTCACGCTTGGATTAAGTAGAAACGTCAGGCAATGAATAGACATGTTAAGCACGTACTAATCGATAGCACACGGATCCATTTGAAACTCAAATTCAGTCATTTTTATAAACAATTACAGCTAATTGTGAGAAGGAATTTTATTTTATATTTTAAAAAACCTTGTATATAAAATGATTTAATAGTGACGTAGTATGAATTATAGTTTCTACATAAAATATTATTTAAGAAATTGTTTTCTTATCTTGTGATAATACTTTCATTTGATTCATCATGTGCACCGTCTACCTTAAAAAGTATTGAATTATTTATTAACACCGTAATATTTTATTCGGATAATCCTTTGTTAAAATTTCATTTTTGCATACCACAAATTCCTGGAAGTTTCCTTCGTAATGTATTTTTTCGCGTGCATTTTATTTAAAAAAGAATGAAATTAATGTAAATTACTACGGATGAAATATGCATTTTTTCAAATAACGCTCTGACGCACCTGTCATATATGATTATGAGACCGTGTCTATTGTAAGGAAGCTTATTGGAACAAAGGCTGCAAGCAGGGTGAACAGACTTTAAAAAAAGAGACATATCAATAGAAGTAAATTTTTTAAAGCATAGAATTACTACTAACTTGATGTAATAAAATGTAATATATCAGAAACTTTTATCAAATAATACCACATATACACAATACATATTACATCGAAATGGAACGATAAATATTACAAACGTGCAACTAGAAAATTGATCGTATATGTTCAAAAAATTTAATTGCGTTGCCATTTCAGATTATTACATGTAAATACAATAATTCGGCAAGGATTTTAACTTACAACTGCAACAGCATTACACCATTTTTGATTATTTATAACAAAACAACTTCGTTATAGAATATTTGGAAACTCTAAAATTAATTTCGATCATTTATGCAGTCTGAATTAGACATTAATTGAAAATAACTTGTGCTCTACTACTAATTTGCTGGGTCTTCATTAATATGTGTTAACAGATTTCCATTTTTAGGGAAAGTATAATTTTGATGTAATTATAATTATAACTGATACAAAATAATAGAATTCCTCTTAAATTCGTGAAATAAAAGTGTTTTAACTACTGTTTATAAAAAACTGCTGCAATGTGGATTATCACATCTGGTGTACAAAAATGCATCGGGGTATATAATAAACTTTTTGTATATATTACACGATGAAGCTTTTTTCTAAAAGACACAAATTAATAATATCGTTAATACGAATGTATTTTCCGTAATCCTTTTTAAAGAAACGAAATATAAAAAAACAAACATCAAGAGAAACAATATTTGATTGTTCGTAGCGAAGTTTCGCTTATGTCATAAACATAGTGGTGATGCACGGCTGATCCAAATAAGTATGAAGACGATATTACATAATGGCACTGAATGGGCATGCTTTGTGTATTCCACACAGACATACATTAACGCGTGACTATTTACGTGACTACACACTCTGTAGAATAGAAGTACTAGAATAGAATCTCGATTATTCGAATCACATTTTCATGAATATCGGTTAATTCAGTACACACTTATCGGATCGAAATTAATTACACAATTTATAAATACGTTTTGGATATTACAAAATAGAAAATAAATGTATATTTTGAATTATTATAGAAAAAAATAAGACAAAAAATAAAAATTAAACAGAATGATTAAATGCCTATTAATATTGTATGTATGAATACAAACATTATATAATAATTACTTGAGCTTGCATTAAGATGACATAATTCAATTATCCGAGCATCGTATCATATGACCACTGGGTATCAAGATTCTGTTGGATTCTGATGTTCTAATGGCACAATTGTTTGAGTTAATTACTCAGAAAAAATTTCGAGAAACGAATAGAAGTTTAGTATAACTAGTATTATTATAGTAAAAATGAAACAGAATGCCTTTTATACGAAAAATAAATACTAAAAGTGTAGTAAAATCAACAGGACTGTAATTACCGTATTATCCAATACCCTTGCAAAAGCTTTATAGTTACCTTTATAATTTCACTTTCGCAATGGATTAAAAATACTAATAAATTAAGCTTTTTCGACAGTAGATGTATTTATCGCTCGATACAAGTGACGAATAACTTTATTTATCGATCTTGAAAAACAGTTCTAATCGTTATTGTCAGCTTCAAGTAAAAATGAACGCTTAATATCATAAAATAACTGAAAAATGATATAATTCATTATTCTACGTTCCGATAATCCAGCGAGTTTCTGATTGTTTCTGCTTGGCCTCGATATTCCCTGTACACCGTATGAAACGGTGTATCCGACATCTCAATCTCTCGTTCAATAAACGAACATTTAAATAAGCAAAAAAGAGTACAACTTTTCTATTATTCTGCTACTGCTGTACGGCACATAGGTAACAGCATCCATGGGCGCGTGTGATACACGAACAGTACATCGTGATAGAGCGTTGACCCTGCCCAGTCCCGCGGTCGAGAAATCCCTCCAAACGAACAAACCCAGTGAAATACCGAGTTTCGTTTCGCGTCAACGATGATAGACAGGTTACTTTTCCGAATCGGAACTCTCGTCGGCGAAGGCACCATCGGGCTGGTAAAGCTGTTCGACCATCGAATCACGAACTCGAGTGAACCGTAAACAAAAATTCGATGCACGAATCGGAACGAAGGTGACACGAATCGCACGATATAAACAGAACGTAGTTTTGAACCGCGGCAGCGTATATTTAGAAACTGACCTTTGGGCCACGTAAAACCAAGGGAGGACCGAGCGGAACAGGCCGGAAAGGACTTCTTTTATCGAAATGGAAATCCAACGTGACGTTTCTCTACGAAGCCCATCGTTTCTCCACATCCGTACGTCGGTTCCCCGTTTCCGCCTCTGAACGGAGGAACAGCGTGAACGCGAGAAGCCGGCAGCTCGACGGAACTATTCGCGCATCGTGACTGATCGAGCGAGGAGGAAAGCGGCGCGGCGCGGCGCGGCACCACACGGCGTGTCTATTCTCGCGATCGAATCGCCAGTGATTACTACACTCCGTGAATCCGAGATACGAAGCCGAGTTTCCCTCGCACGAAAACGGCCAGCATCGTCCCCATGTAAGCAGTCGAACGGTGAGAATTGCACTGAGGGGAGTTTGAGAATCGAGCGTGGCTGAATTTCCGGACGCAGGGAGGCGCGGCGGTCAGGATCAGCCACAGGTTGCGCCCGCCTCGTTCACGCAGGCCGGGCATCTTGGCTGATCGCGAAGCGGGGAGGACCGAGGGAGGACACCCTCTCCGCCGAAGCGACAGAAAGAGAAATCGATTAACTTAACATTCACAACTATATATCTATATATCCGCGTTCCTTCTCGGAGTTCAGAGCTCGAGCGCCGTGATTTCGATCGCTTTTCGGTGGTGCCTCGTGCAAGCACGTGTCATCCGATGTTCGAATAAGATAACCGCCCTTATGTATGAGTAATCGCCTCTTCATTATTCCAACAAAGTGAGGCACGAGGTAGTTCGATTCAATTCGCGATTTCGAATTTCGATCGCGAGGTTATTGCATGTAATGGAATTATTTGGGAAATAATGGGTTACAGGGGTGAAATTCGAATTTTATTTACCACGATGCTACTGATCAGACCGCTGTACAATAAATTTTTGTGGAACCAACATTTGGGTTATAAATATCTGTAGAAGAGGAATTTCAGTGTTTTAGGAAAAAAAGTTAAATTCTCTATCTTTGAACAATTTTAATGGTATAAAACTGATTTTAATGGATATTTTCAGATGTGCAAAAATAAATATAAATCCAAACTCTCAACAAAACTATATGGCAGTAAAAAGTAGTCCGATATAGTACGCTGACATTGCTCATTTACTTTTGGTTGTCAAAACCAGAAAAAATTTTGCAAAATTTTTCAATTTGTCGAATTTCAGTACATACGCGTACCAATACGAGTATCAAATAATAAACCTAATTTTATTTAGAAGTAAAGATAGTATTTAATATCAAAATCATAAGGGTAATAAATAAAAAAATGAAAAATAATTTGTTTGAAAATTTCGACAATTACGCAGAATATTGTCCAATATTCACTGTTAATTGGGGAAAACGATTTAATCCGTTATTCGAGTTTCATTAACTTCGCAATAATTCTTATGTTTCTTATTTATTCGAACAATAATTCTTCCATCTTATTAAAACAATGTAACTGTGTCAATGCAGATTATGTAATATTGACATGTGCGTAATGTTATCTATGTTCATTTAATTTCATTACTTTGATTAATTTCATTTGTTTTGGCGTACATTTTCGTTAGTCTTTATACCTGAAATGTCATCTGATTAACATGTAAAAATAATGAGTACCTTAACCATCAGTTGCAGGTGAGCAAACAAAAGTTGCTGTGAACGATGGAAACTGACATCGTATTGAATATTGTTATGCTTAGTCTCATTACCATCAGAAAATACCATTCAATAAGTACAAGTAAAATCATTTTTATGTTTCATTTGTATATAAATAAATAATCGATAATAGATAGAAACATCGATTGATTGAATTTTAAAACATAAATGATTTACATACCAATTTTTAAATTTCTCTACATTTTTCTGCTTCACAATAATTTGCATATATTCTTTAACATTTTTTATATCTTTACGGTGTATGCGTTTACTTCGTTTTTAATTCTATTACGTGTACATATATTTGAAGACGACGTATCTATTGTCAGGATATACTTGATGCGATTACATAATATCACATCGAGTTAATAACAGGTAATTATGAAATAATTTGCTGCAAACACCGCTATGTTACTAAATCATACGCTAGCTGCACTATCTCAGAATTTTTAGTACCAATCTTTTACGAAAACATTTCTTATAGGAAAATACACTTAAACATCAAATAAAACTTACGTGAAGTAATTCTTAGAAGCGACAGAGATAATAATTGTAACATGTTACTATTAGGTAATGACTGTGTATTAATCGATAAAATGTCATTTAAGGAAATTTTTAATTTTATAATTTATAATAACTTTCAAAATACTGCTCCTTACCTTACATTCCTTAATACTGAGAATTCAAATTAACATTTCGCTAATATAAATAAATATAGGAATTTCTTAAAATAAGGAGCATCAGAATCGATTAAACTTTTTGGCAAGTTTATACGGCGCCATAATATTGAGCTTTTCAGTTGTATACAAATAAAAATTTAAGTGTTATTTTCATTAATACATTTATGGTTGTAGCCGAAGCTAGCCTTATTCATTTCTCGTTAATGATGATGGAATGGAAACGGTTTGAAGATAAATTCTCAGTTTTCTTCATAATTTTTATTACTTTGTAGCTATAAAAAATATATACTAAAAATAATCTGTCAGCATAATTTTATATAAGTACCTATCCTCGTATTGTATATAAGTACCCATCCACATATTAAATTTAAAAGAATTCGTCTGTTCAGTTTTTATTATTATATATGCAGTTCTAAACACTGCATATTTAAAATTTAAAATGCACTTAAAACTTTGGAGTTATTTATTATAAATTTGTCTTATTTACGTTTTAGCAGTAATCTCCAAATTACAAAGTGATCCTTCTTTTACTTTGAACACAGCATTCCTTACTGTTCATTCATTTCTGGCCGTTGTTATTACCTGTTTCTTCAATATAACTGCACAATAATTAAAATCACTTGGGTCTGATCACACAAACCATCAAATATTGAGTGTTTATTATTATTGTTATTATGTCCATAAGCATGAAAATTCAATTTTAGTTAAAATTGAAAATTTACAACCCTGTGTTATAAAGTCCAGCATTAAAATTCACATAGCCAGGTTAAGAACGATATGTATCAATATAAGGCGCTTAATTATTATTTTACATTTCAGGTCTGAAAAATCTTCGTAAGAAATTGTTCCGCGATATAAAACAGCAAATTGGTTTGATTAGTTGAAACTTAATGTTCAAACGAAATAATTACCTAAAGTAAAATTGTGCAGTCGGTTTACCGGCGTATGTTACCAGATGTCACGTTTAATTGCCGTGTACCACACGATTGTCGTTCCTAAATCTCTGTCATTAACGAAAATTGTTTTCACCCATTTGATGTGAACATGCAAGAAACTTAATGAATTGAAAATTAGTTTTAAAAATCGATTCTTTACCCTTAAAGTGAATATGAAATTCACGTTCGAATTTGTATGTTTGTGAAACATGATTACTCATGAAATACGGAGAAGTTCGATAATCTACGGTCTAAGAAAGTAATTATTTTTACTTGCTTTAATAACTTCATAATGAATACGTGTAAATAAATTATATGGAAAAACGATGATTATTTACATTACATTATTCATCGATTTTGATGCTTTTAAAATATATTTTTAAGAATAAGTTCAGAGACGATAAGACATGCATGTACGTGACGCAGCGATACGAAGATTGCAACTTTGCACTGACGGAGGCGTACACCACTTCGAACATTTACTATAATGTAAGAAAGTTTATTTTATTACCACATTTGACGCTGCTTGGCTGTCAACGATAGCTTACTGAAGTCGTCTCAACGTCAGCTATTGCATCACGATAAAAATAAAAGCATTCCATTTAAAAAGATAGAAATGATCTTGAAATTTCTTCCATGCCTCCACCTACGCAAAAAATGTTTGTATCGCGATATGTCCCCCTCTATACCATGTAAGTTTTATATATAATAATTTTTCATATTATTACATATAACGGCAATATTCAAGATGGACATAGTTATTGCTCCTCCCTGTATGTATATGCAGTCAGTAACCAAAGTATCTGAACATCATGGTAAAAAATAAATTATCATTTGAAGAATTGTATATCGTATATTGCTATTTACTAAAACAAGTTGCAATCGTGATATATACATATATATAATAAGATAGAAAAAATATTTAGCAATATGCAAACAAACTATGGAACATTTATTGTGTCCAAGCATGCATGACGTTCGAATACTCTTGTTGCTGACTGTCGGTACCTACGTTTGAATCAATCAAAAATAAACATAAACAAGAATGTTATCTACAATTTCAAAAACAGTTATATACAATCTACTAGAAAAAGTAGTTTGATAATGAAATATTTGGATAAGAACGTATCGAATAATTCAAGTGCAAAACGTGAAATGGCAGCGCAACAGTTCGCACAGTCCTGGTTGATGCCTGTAAGGTGCAAAAATAAGGAGTTCCCAACGTGAGTTGGAATGGGTGAACCAATTCGCTGGCCTTTTACAAACTTAGACTTTATCTCAATAATACATAGCAAAGAGCTTCACGATCTTCAAAACCGACGTGTACCGAAATAGATATAGCAATAGTTACTACAAGATTGAACATCGTTTATATGAATATCGTACATATCGAAACTTTCTGATGTGAAACAGAAATTCTCTAAACATTTATTAACGTTTTGGTACAAAAATATTCCCAATATGTTGAAGAACTTAAAAACTGAATGTCTACCTTCTTACAATATATTCAAACAGAATAATAGTAATTAAAATGAAAAACAAGACGAAAACTTATAGATAGATTTCCAATTTTATAAATAAGACCAGTTGTATGATTCTACAATTACTAATACGTAAATAGATAGAAAAATATTTAATATTAGATTATGAAACCATTTTTTGTCTACACTAAAACAGACTTAACCGATCGGCAGCAATATTAACCCTTTGAGTGCCAACGAGCGATGTATCTCTCCTTCATATACTTGCAAAAAATTTCTTTTTGATTTCATTAGTAATAAAGGAAGTCTAATATGTTTTTTAAGATTTTTCGTTAGATCAAAATTGACCCAAATATAAATTTCTGTTTATAATCATGCATCTATGTTTAAAATTATCTGGCATTACTCGAATATGTATGAAAATTTCCTCTAACACTTAAAGGGTTCCGATAATACCATTAAATGCTTGTCGAAAATCTCATTTCTTCATGACTTCACCACGATTTTTAATTATTTATTGCAAAGTTATATGGAAATTTGGCTAATATGTCGTCTCTATATTAAAGAAGGGACTATAATGACTATTTTAGAATCTTTTCGTATTCTTATAGAATTCACAATAATAAAAAATCAAGCCTGACCATAAA